TCACAACCCCCCGTCAGCCCCTCCCTTAGCATGCACCACTTGTGTGCAAGTGTAGTCTCCACGTACTGCTAATAGATGGGCATCACTCACTAATTATTTGAGCAGTGGGACTTTTAAACGTGGTTCTATATGCTTATTTTGCAAGTGGTATATGTGGACTATAAAATATGATTTCACTTATTTACCCAGCAGAGCCTTGCTGAGTCTAAAGACTTTTTCAGAAGGGCCCTGCCAAGTTTTTGCAGGAGGCGGGTTTGATGCCGCTTTGTGTTTTCCATTTAAGTTTTGTTGTGGTGTAATTTTCAAAATTTTACAAGTTTGACCTGTTTCTCCAGTACACAGTGGCCAACTCTTCTTAGAATGACGTCACGGGATGAATAACGTCCACCGTGGAGCAGACGGCGCGTAGTATTGAACGGTTAATACATTCTGAAGTATTAACCAGGGCTGCCTGCAATATTTGAACCACGAACCTCTGCAACTAGTATCAGCAGGTAATGAGCCTGTATAGCGCTTGGATGGGTGACCGCCATGCACAAACAGGTTACCATAGGGCAGTGTTCTTCATTGCAAGGCCACACGGCCCATTGGCGATGTCGTATCGACGAAAGTGGCCCCCCAGAGAAAATGTGTGACGAACACTGCCATAGATAGGGCTTGCCGGGCTACGTGTTGGTGGACAGCGCAGCACAACATCGTTGTTCTGTACCTCTATGCTCCTACTTAAATGCTACCCGCCTTCACCAACCCCGCACTGACCTGCATGGCAAAGTACGGTCACATAACCCCGACAACCTTGCACGACATGACGGAGAGGCCCTCATTCAGCAATGGATTGACAAGGGCTGAACGTGTGTGCATCCGTAGTGTACATGTGGGGAGCACTTGGGAGTAGTGTGCAGCGCTACAAAGCTGGCGAGCCAAGTTCAATTCCCGCTCGCTACCAACACCAGTGAATATTATTTGAACCCTATCCTAGGCGGGAGTGCACTGCACTACAAACCCGGCGACTTGAGTTCGATTGCCACCCATTACCAACATTGCGGGCAAATATCTGAACCGGTCCTGGGCCTCTGCCCCTTGGTCGACTCAGCCTTAAATAAGTACCTGGTGCGATGTGTAAACATCACTACTAGAGAGACAAAGGCGGCCAGGCGTGATGCTGGCTAACCATGTACTGTAATCATATGGCATATAATTAAATTGCATGTGAAGCTAAAGTAATCTAATCAATGATGACCTTTCAAAAGACACCCTTGCCTACCTCGTAGTTTATGACGTCAGCGCAGAGTTCAGTGTCTTGACTCGCATCAATTAAGAGAGAGAGCATCTGTCGGCTGTGACCTTCTTAGCTTGTCACCCTTCTGCTTGTCGTTTACCTCCCTGAAGCGATACCTGTCCCGTGCCCTTGCGTGGCATAGACTGCAAATAATTGAGTAGTGGAAATTTATATTTTTATGAACATCATGAAATCACAATTTGTCTGACCCCACCCCCAATATTCATTCCGATTGTGCTCTAGGCGCTACGGCATCACAAAACAAAGGGGTTCTTCAGGAAGTTGTGACCCTTCCTGTTGGAGAACAGCCCACAGAAGTGGATACCACAGAGGAACCTCTGAAGCCATTCAAGGGACTTCTGGTCCACATGCACAGTAGAGGATAGCACTTTCCACCCGCTCTACCATATGAGAGCGAGGCTTTGTTTAGTTTGTTGTCCTTCCCCCGCACCTCCGATTAGCACAGTTGCTACATACGGTGCGAAAGAAGTTCAACATACATATACGTGACAGTCAAACAAATATTTCAAATCTCAGAGCAGCAATGTGGCAAACATGGAGAAGATACACTGACTACGTTCGACGACCCGATTTAGTCATTGGCGGCTCAAACCTGGGATCGAATCCAGGATTTCAGCGGCGCGAGCTCGACACTCTCGTCTCTGAGCCACCGCAATTGGCATTGTTAAACAAAACCACGAACACGTGTGGATTACACAACGCTTTCCAACATCGGCTTGCCTTCACAAGCATCTCATCAGCAGTACGGCAGCCCATGATGCGTGGCTGCCAGGGACAATTCGATCGCTCTGGTTTGTGTCTCCCGGTTTAGGGTGACCGTTTTATCACTCGTTTTCAAAGCGACCTGGCCACAAATTATAGCGCAACAAAGAGACTTATCATCGCGTGGAAATTTACAGCAGCCAAATACTCTTAAACACGTTGATTCAAATGTGGAGAGATAAACCGGAGGACCCAAAGAAAAATCCACGCAACCACGGGGAGAACATGGAAATTCCAAATATACAGCAGGCGTCAGGGTCAGGATCGAACCCACAACCTCTTGTTTGCCTGGCGAGGTAGTTAACATCTCACTAACTACCTCACTGCAGTCCTCCTCATATTGGATCATCTTTGCGAGAGTTACAGCGACCCCCTTCAATACACAAGGACAGATGGACATTTAGAGACAGATGGACATTTATAGAAAATACAAATACAATCACGACAGTTCACCATCGCAAGGGTAGAGAGGCAGATCATCACAGGCCTTATAGCAGCGGTCTTCATCGCAAGGCCCGTGGGCCACTGGCGGGCCCTGGTGGCCTTGAGTGCGGCCCTTGACGTGCAGCTCCCGACAAAACACAACACGTGATAACAACGCCCCTTTCAGGCGGTGTGGCGGCCCTCACACTGACGCTGTCTTATCGGTAAAAGTGGCCCCCCTTCTGAAAATTGGTGAAGAACACTGCTTTATAGCTAATCATCGTCATAATCACCTCCACCACCACTACTTCTACGTAGGGGGGGGGGGGGGTCAATAATGGTTGTCCTATGGATAAACTCACACCCGTCATAGGAATGTGGAATTTCCACCACTGGCTCTGAAGGGCTGTAAACAGGAGATGAGCACCGCCTCAATGCTCATGTGAGCAGCAAATCACTCGGACTTTTAGTTGAATGTTCTTGATCATTTAAAATAAATAAAGAAAGCACCCAATGCGAAATGTTTCCATTGAAGGAGAAAATAATAAAATGTTGGGTTAGCCCTTGGACAAAAAGCTGTGCTTAAGCATTTTTGTCTGACTCAGCAAATGCTGCCGTAGACCCACACTCGCATATTTGCCAAAGCTCACAAACCACCGACACGGCAGTTTGTGAATGGCACCTAAAATGTCTTGTGCTGCAGTCCCCTGGAGGAAGATTTTTCCTTTTAAAAATGGCATTTTGAAATAAACAACTTGAACTAACTCCACTCTCAGGTATGTGCCTGTGTGCGCGTGTGCATGTTTTCTGTGCGGGGAGCGGAGGTGTAGTTGTTAGCGCTCTCCGCTAAGAACCCGGCGACCCGAGTTTATAATTCCTGCTCACAACCAACTTCGGTGACGAACATCTCAACCGGTCTTGGGGCCTCTCATAGGTCACGTCAGCCTCATATGAGTGCCCGGTACAATGTGTGAACATCAGCACGAGGGTGACAAAAGTGGCCGGGTGTGGTGTGGGCCACACCACCCCCTCGTGTGCCGGGATGGCCTCAACAGGTGCTTGGCTAACAGCACTTGCCCCAACAACGTGTTAAGGCATCAAGGGGGGATCTTTGTTTTATTCTGGCGAGCGGTTGGCGCTGTCGTTAGCCTTGCACTGCGCTGGGAACCCTGTGACCTCGCTTTGGCTTTGATTCCCATTCACGGCTGATATCGCTGGCTTAGTGTGACGCTGCTGTGATTGGGAGATGTTAACTACCTCGCCTGGTATACAGGAGGTCGTAGGTTCGACTCTGACCTTGACGCCTGTATATTTTGAGTTTGCGTGTCTCTCTCTCCGTGGTCGCGTGGATTTTTCTTCGAGTCCTCCAGTTTTCCCCTCCACATTTAGAATCAACATCACGCGTTTGGAGTCTTTGGTTGCCATCAATGTCCACGTGATAAGGCACTTCCTCGAGCTATCATTTGTGGCTCGGTCGCTTCTGAAAAAGAGCTTTTCAGCTCATAGGGCCTTACCTGGTAAATTTTAAATTAAAATCGTGATGATATCTTCTGAACTGGGCATAGCTGGGCCTCCGTAGTAGGTTGCCTTAAATGAGTAGCTGGTGCTACTAAGTAGTATGTGCTGTCCACACCATCCTTTCGTGTATTTGCTCTTGTGTATGTATGCATGTCCGTGTGCATATGTATGCATGTGCAGGCCTGTGAACTTGTGCAACTGGATTTTATTCCTGGTCAAAGGCATCAGTGACAATTGCCGAACCAGTCATTTCTGCCGCTTTCATTCTCCCACTTTTATTTTAACAATGATTTCAACTTGCAATGCGTAGCCGCAGAGTACTTGTACTCTCGTATGTTGAACTTCTTTCGCACCGTGCGTAGCCAACCATGCACTTCGGAAGTACAGGGAAAGGACAACAAACTAAACACAAAAAAGCAGTTCTAAAGAAAGGAGTTTTCAATCTAGATTATTTAAAAATGTGTAGCTCCAGTGGCTTCTTAATCTCGTAAGGAAGAGCGTTCCAGACGGCCGCAGAAGCGCATTTGATAGCGCACAATGCAGTGACCGTCTTTGAATATCCTGTTATATATTTAGTCAATCTCGAACAGAGAGAGAGTACGACGTAGAGGTGCGAGGAGAAACCACAGACACGCAGGAAGGCAGCAGGGCGGTGGTGAGCTGGCGCAATAAACTGCCTAAGCTCTGCAGTCCTCTAAATATGGCTTTGTTTTCAGTCAATTAACACGTGGGAGGAAACCGGAGCGCCACGTGAAAACCCACACGTGTGAGTGAGGAGGCAACGCTTCATCCCAGACAGAGAGATTAGTCCGCATTTTGCTCGCCAGTGTAAACCCCACCATCATCGCCATCGTTCGCTGCTAACATCATAATCATCATCGCAATCACCTCCTGCTGCTCCTACTGCAGCTGCAAACATCGCCATAACCACCACTACCACCATTATTACCTCCTGATGCTGCTATTGCTGCTAACATCATCATCATCGCCACAAGCATCACCTCCTACCGCTCCTGCTGCAGTTGCAAACATCGCCATCATCACCATCATCAACCAGAGCTCAACTGACAGCTGTTTATGTGTGCAGTGAGAGCCAGAGGGGGGAGAGGAGTGTGAACGGGCGCGACCCCGGGCTGCAGTCCCCGTGCGTCACAAAGGCTGCCACGTGCGTGCTCTCTCGGCACCAGGTAAGGGAGGAACAGGCGGTGGAGGTGGTGGAGGAGGAGTCACTCCCCCCACCCCACAGTGGCTGCTGCGTCATACTCGTTAACCATTGACGCATTATTCCTCCACCCTCGTCCGTTCACCTCCAACAAAATCGCTCGTCTCTGTGCCACCGCTCGCAGAAAGCTGCGGCGTCCAGAGGGGGCATGGTGCAAAGAAACCACAAGGTAAGGAGGTGACGGGGAGACACGCATAACGACGTGAAGTAGCGACTGCCATTCACCTCCAAGTGGTGGTCACGCCACCACAGCGCTTGTGCCATGCTAGGTGCACCCCCCCCCCCCGTATCGGCTTTAAGACATTATCTGGTGCTGCTGCATTGCCACTGGTGCATAAGCGCAAGTGACTACACAACTCAAGGCTTTCGTCAATAACGCTGTAAGTTTAAAATGGAAAATATATAATTAGGTGAAATTTCATAGCACATAGGCCAGTCGGGAGGGAGAGTGGATTATAAGAGGTGGATACCTGCCTATGCCATGGAACCTAATGAGAATTGATGGCACCTTAACAAACTGTTGGGGCAAGTGCTGTTTAGCGTGTACCGGTGAAGGCTGATACGGCACACAAGTGGTTAGTGTGGCTAGCAACACGCTCGGCCACCTTTGTCTCCCCAGTGCAGATGTCTACTCACCGCACCAGGTGCCCATTTAAGTTTGAGTCGAGCTAGGGGAGGCCCAGGACCTGTTCAGATATTTGTCACTGATATTGGCCGTGAGCGGGAATCGAACTCGGGTTGTCAGGTTAGTCGTGGAGCGCGCTAACCACTGCACCACCTATCCCCGAACAAAGACATGCACACAGACACGCGATGCGGCTAGCGACGAGTGGGCATTGCTTTAAACCACTTCGCTCACATTGATGGGAAACCCGTGAGAGGGGAGGGTTCGTGCGGGCTACAATACGAATAGGAAGTCGCCCGACTGCGTAGGCGTCCGCGGTGGTGCTGCACTGCCCCCCCCCCCCCCCCAAGTTGTTTCTGGTCGTACCGCACGTTTGTTGGGCGCCACGTGGTTAGGAGATGTTAACAACCTCACCTGAACTTGATGCCTGCTGTATATTCGGAGTTTGTGTTTCTCGCTCTCCTCGTGGTCGCGGATTTTTCTCCGAGTGCTCTGGGTTTTCGCCCCACATTTACAATCGACGTGTGTGCAGAGTCTTTGGCGGCAATATATTTCCACGTGATAAGCCACTTCGTTGAGCTATAATTTGTGGCCAGGTCGCTTGTGAAAAAAATCTACATAGCTCGGTGGGGCCTTACCTGGTAAATTTAAAAGTTTAGTTTTTATCGTTGTTCTGCACGATGTCTGACGTTTTGCCCCTCCTACCAGGGAGCTTCTTCAGGAACTGAATTGCTCCCCCAAACAACGCGCGGTGCTACCCTGCAACCACACAGGAAGGCTGTAAACAGGGTGGCCACAAAGGCGCCCCTTGCATGGAAAAAGATAACGTAGCTCTATTCGAACAGCGCTGTGTGTTGCCGTCCATTCTCAGCACACCGCTCGGTTCGTGGAATGGTGCTTGGCAGATCAGATCCTCTCCCGATCCATCGCCCACTCAACTCCTGATTCAAATAATTCCCGAATTGCGAGGAGAACAATATTTCATGCAAAGGGACTTTGCGGCCACCACGTGCAGCACAATCGCGAACACCTACACGGGGGAACATTTGTTTGCAGCTGGCGTCAATGTTTCTTTCTGCCTGACGAATTTCTCTCTGTTTACAGAAAGTTTTACAACCATGGCCTCAAAATGAAAAAAATACATAATAGGTGATGTCTCGGGCAATAGTCCTGCGTGTCACGTGCGAGATATGCGCTGCGGGATCACCGCACACTCTGGAGAAAAGCTGTTACCCGAAACGTAGCTTATTTACTTGTTCCTTTAAGGCCACACACAGCGCTATCGACGAATGTGTTGAGTTTCTTGTTGTTATTTGTGCTTTTACACCACTGCCTACGCAGCAGCAGCAGCAGCGGCGGCGGCATCACCGAGACAATTTGACTCATGTCGCCCACGGTGGAATCATCAAGCACCAAGAAATTCCATCTAGAGGCACCACCGTCTTGTGACGTGGCTACTTTATACATCGCGATTCGCACTGTGTGAGAAACACAGTTTGGCTGGCAGGAGGGAGGGACAGACGGTCACGTACAAAGGACGTGCGGCCTGTTAGTTATGTTGAAGTAAAAAAATGTAATTCTAAAAATGTCATATATAAAGCAATATAACATTACAAGATGGACATGGGCTAAATATGGGTTTCATTAAAATAACGGGGTTTTGATAAGAAACCAGATCGTTGAGGGCATGCTGCCCCATGAATTATCCCAGTATTTCCTGGCTCTAAATGCTAAAGACTCCCATTCACCCACGTTTAGATTTTCTGATTATTCCGTAATTGTTCCTGGGCTCTAAAGTAATTCTATTCGCATAGTTTTCATGGATAAACGCAGTCGTGGGGAAGTGGTCGCCGTGTGAGTGGATGAGTGAATATTAGTCATGTACCCTCATCCTCAGGAAGTCTAATACATTGCACTTGTGTTCCAATGTTTCAGCAAGAATGTCAAATGTAATAGTGCAGTTGGGAAGAGCAGTTCTTTGACTCTGGGCTATTGTGGTGATTAGGGATGACCCACTGCTGCTGCTGTGTATACTAATCATTCACTCTCACTGCTGACAGCATAATCTCCCTCTTGAAAGTCCAATCATTATTGAAATGGGTTTTCAACTTTTCAAAGACAGGAAGCGCGTCTGACGACAAAACTAACGACGCCAGTACGTTACGTTTGGGTGAGCGATCGGGAGTAGTCCGAATGGTCACTCAAATGGCCACTTGCCTTTTGTCGTCGAGTTAAAGTCTCGGACGTGTCCCTGGTCTCCGCAGAAAGAACCGCCACCTTTTATCAGCGTCGACACACGGCGAACCAAACAGGGGGCACGCTCACCCTGGCGCTCGTTAAACATTTCCAGAGTTTTACGGCATTCAGGAATTGGGTGTGGTGTGCGAACAGCATCCCCTGTTGAAATATCTCAACTGAATCTGGTCCTCCTCAGGCCGGCTTGGTCGGTGTGTAAACATCAACACTGAGAAGGCAAAGGCGGCTGGGCGTGGTGCTAGCCACCCACCCGCTCGTGTGCCGTGTTGGCATTCAAAGGTGCTGCTACTCGCTAACAGCACTTGGCCTGACAGTCTGTTGAAAGATATCTGTAACTTTCTGTTTTTATGCTAACCCTAAGGATGCAGACCTTGTAACAACTCTCACACTCAACACGTTCAGCAAGAATCACCCAAAGATGATGGCCCTTCATAGCACAAGAGCCAATGCCCAAAATGTCACGTATTATGTATATAGATTGTATCTATGAAAGGCTGCAGTGTTATTGACAAATGTTTTTTTATTGTTGTAGTGAGTGTTTGTGCACCGCTACCAATGCAGTAGCAGCAGCACCCAAATAATTTGTAAATGACTGCACTGCTACAGCGGTCTGGTGTTCTTGAGCCACACAAGTAGGGCTCCTGCGATGTTAAATCGACGATCCGCTCCCAGTGTTCACAGCGGTAAGACGATCATCCCGATATCACGCTTCCGTCAACTTTAACGATGCTCCGCAAGCTCATCGTCCCGTGTTTGTGATTTGGCGTACTTCCACTGCAGCTGAAGATAAACCTGAAGATTCACCAACTGGCGTTTATTCAACGTAAACCCGACGCGAGTGTTAATGTAAACAACTCTCACCACCGCGCTGTCAATCGCTCTCAGACACGTGTCACAAAATGTTTTTGCCTTTAATCGAAAAAAGAGAGAACATGTGTTTTTACTTTCACCCCGTGGTAGGATTGACGTTTCAGAAATATCTTGTTGGGAAATTTGTTTAAGAACAAAATTAAATGACCAATGATAATTACGATAGGACCATATTTAGCAAAACGTAGGATAGTATTATTGCTGTGGGTCTCTATACCGTACGATGTATCACAGTATCACCATATCACAAAGACAAAGATGACAAAGATCCCCCGTATAGACTTAACAGACTGTTAGGGCAAGTGTTGTTAGCGAGCACCTATGAAGGCCGGAACGGTACGCGAGGGGGTTGGTGGCCAGCACCACGCCCGACCGCCTTTGTCTCCCCAGTGGCGATGTTTACACACCGCACCAGTTACTCATTTGAGGCTGAGTCGACCTAGGGGAGGCCCAGGACCGGTTCAGATAATCATCACCGCTATTGGCCGTGAGCGGGAATCGAACCCGGGTCGTCAGGTTCATAGCGCAGCGCACTGACCGCTACACTACTGCTCCACCGCCGCTCACCGCTCCACCGCCGCTCACCGCTCCACCGTCGCTCCACCGCCGTTCCACCGCTGCTCACCGCTCCACCGCCGCTCCCCGCACACCATATCACAGCAACTCCACGCACAGGCAGTTGAGGATAGTCGCTCACAAAACATGACTAATCGACCCCTTTAAGCAATGACAAGATAAATTAAGCAGATCATTCACGAATCACATAGCTCATCGGCCCCATGGCCTTTTGGAAGCGCACGACTTGAGCACAATTGCTTTCACACAAGCAAACCACTGGACGGGTTTCAACATTCTGTGATTGACGGTGTTAAATGTCCAACATTCGTCACCTAGAACTAAGACTGTGGTTCAACTAACAAAACGCTGACTGTGTGACAAAACACGAGTAAAATCTGATGTGAAGTTGTAACATACTGTACACCATCATGAAATAAAAATAAAAACGGTGCAGCTGCATTCCCATACGATCCACCAACGCTCCACGCTCCACCTTGGCACGACAACAGACAAACGTACACGGACTCCTGACGTGTGCAGAGGCATTTAGCAAAATTTCAAATTCCTGCACGGGTAGCGCAGAATGTCACCCGAACCCAAAGTTGCCTTCGGCTGGGACGTGGGGAGTGCAGGAATGCAGACCACTCTGGTTTTCAACTTGCACCGTCAGCACATTGTCACACAGCACGTCACTTTGGGTCAGATTCGTGCGTGCGTGCGCGCGTAAATGTCTTCATATATTCTAAAACCTTTTACACGTGGCGTACCGAGGGAAAGAGAGAGCAGGGTCGACGATGTAATGCACGGAACAAAGACAAAGGGATGGAAAAGGGAGGAGCGAAGAGCAAAGAATGGGAATTGATAGAGAGGCCGCTGCACAGTCACGGGTGGCTCTTGGTATTGGTGCTTAGAGGAGCATTGCGCAATAGGGCAGCTGACGGAGCAAGATGAACAAGATGTTGGGGATGAGAGGGTGATGATGATGATGAGAGAAGAGGGAAAGAAATGGAGAGAGAAGGAGCATGCAGAAGTGAGCGGTACAGAGGAGCAGTGTCCGTTTCTCAGGGCGCAGGGAGAGGGGAGGGATTCAGAGTGGCTGTGGCCACAAAGAAGCCACGTGATGGACCTGTTCTGGTTTTTTCAGGACCATCCTATGGTTGATGTGGTAGCTGCAGTCCTGGGAAACCGATACGTTTTTCCGGGATGTAATAATAAAAACGAATGTAATTTCCCATCACATGACAGGTTAATAAAAAAAAACATATTTAATTAAAAAGACAACATATTTAAGATTGTATTGAATTTATTTAATAAAATTTTTATCCATATATAACATTTGATGTAAATGAACAGAATAGATTATTTATTCCCTTTTATTCCGTAATGCAAAACGAAAAAATGAAGACACAAACAGGGGCACACTTCACTTTTATTATTCTTGTAACAACTAATAAATTGTTACAATTTTAATAATAAGCCTTGCATGAAAATATCTTTAAAATTGCATGAAAATACACGTAGCCGACCCAGCGTTAAACACAGCACATACATTGTCAGGCGTTGGGCACAGATCACCAAAACTATATGTATAATAAAGTACTCAAGACAAGGCATCTACACGTGCTATTGTAAGATATGCTTACATCACAAGTGGCAACCTTAATTCCCGGCCACGTCTTACATTAGTGGCGATTATCTGAAATGGTCCCTGACCACCCATTAGATAAACTCAGCCTCAAATCAGTATTTGATGCGGTGTGTAAACGTAAACACAGAAGTAATGTTTTGTATTTTTATATTGCCCTGCACTTGCTTTCTCATACTACCACGAGCAAGAGAGCGAACTCTGCAAAGCTCCCCAGAAGTGTTTTGTCCCTACTCTTCCATGCTCGGGGGGAGTCACCACAACTTTGCCTCGCTACCTGAGACCCGACGACGACTTTGGTGCTGTACTCATTATTATTATTTTTAGCATTACCGCTGGGTGGACAGAGGTGTTGGGGCGGGGGGGGGGGATTTAAGACATTTGCCCCATCGTTTGAACTGCCACACCAAAAGGTCAAATGGAACGTTGACCTCTGGATCAGAGAAGGCAAGTCATATCTGGCCGGACAGAGTGCTCGACTTGCAATCGTAAAACCGCGAGTACTAATCTCGGTTTAGATGCAGCTCATGGGGCTGCTATACCAGAGCCTATCCATCCATCGGGAGCCGGTTTATCAACAGTCACGAGTGGCCATTCTCAGCCTTGCCGTGAATTTGTGGAATTTCCACCACTGGCTCTAGGCCTCGGCAAGGTAATGTAAAAACAACGAGCCTACCTTTACCCTACTTTTTACCTTACCACAATACAATCACTTTACTCTACCTTTTACCCTTTAGCAGGTAAGATAAAAGGTAAAAAGCAAGGAGCCTACCTTTACCCTACCTTTTATCCTTACCCATACAAATTACCCGATTACAGGGTAATTACTGGGGTACTACTACACATGAAAAATATTTTATAACGGTAAATGCTAGGTAGAGCGCTTTATTCATATAGAATACTCTCGATTATTCCAGTTTTACACGCTTGTTGTTGTATCCTCAAATCTTGTAACTCAATTTTAACCCACTTCCCAATGTGGTATCGACTGCAAACTTGGTATACTTATGTCATACTGATGACAATACTATATTCTATAATAAAAAATATTTTTAAACATTCATTTTGATATGTTATGTTTCGGCATGGGTCTAATTGTCCACAGTCAACTGACGTTGGCTGTAATTGGCCACGGCCCCTTACGTTATGGCAAGCTTCGGGGCCACTTCCTGGAGTTGTGGAGTTCTGCCATTACTCGTACATTTTCATTAAAGCGTGTTTAAAAAAAAAATTGTAATATTATTAAATGGAAGCCACGGACTGCGCCACGGAGCTTTTAGCTGTAAACAAGGTACCATATTTACCGGGTAATACTTCACGCTACCTTTACCCTACCGGGTAATTCTTCCGAGCTACCTTAACCCTACTACCCTTTACCTTACCCCTTGGCATGTTGACACCTTTACCCTTTTACCCGGTAAAAAGGGTAAATGACCTTACCTTGCCGAGGCCTAACTTGCTGGCTCAGTCGGGGCTGCCGATAGAGTTGAGCACCACCGCAGGCTTTCGATCGGTGACACTTTGTTGCTTGCAGCTATAATTCTATTCCAGTTGCGTTGTCGGTGTCGCGTCACGAGATCAAAGTGCCCATTCGGATCTAAGAACGGCCCACAGAAGGCGATATCATAGAACTAATCCTTGGATTCCTTCGAGTGAAGTTTTCCATCCACACACTAGGGGGTGCACTTTCCCATGCACCACACTTATTGAGCAGTGGTTGTCACATGGGGTACCACGTGGCAATGTGCCAGGGGGTACGTGAGGTGATTTATGAAATTCTATCATACATAAGTCATTGGTGAATAATCATGTTGCATGAATCTTCCAATATAAAATAAACTACGCACAACTCTCCTCCCAACTCTCGTCCCCCGCCCACGCACTTTGGAAACCCTTATATAAGCAGTTGCATTTGGAGGCTTGCCCTCTCTTTTCTCTCTCGTAGGTTTTTTGCTTTTATTATTGTCAATTTATTATTTTACATTTTATTTTATTTTTACGTGACTTTACCGAAAGAACCAATAATATGAATTCCTGCAGTCACGAAAGTTTTAAGTCAAAATATATATGATACAATTGTAATCCATATGGTAACCTACAACGATACCTTTCTAAACTCATTGACCATAAACAATGTGGGTTACAAGAGTAACGAGCGAGCGGGAACAAATTACGTCACGCACGCAGAGCGTCCGGTAATTTTTTCATTCGGTTGCAGTTACTAGCCAGTTAGGATACCTCACAAAGTAAACAATCAGTAAAAATATTCACGTTCATTATTTATACATTTATTTCTCAGAACCGTGTTGGGTCAGGCAATGGGATTGCTCGGTTGAAACAAAATTCCACAAGTGGGGTACAGTAGTCGCCAAACAAAGTTGAGAACCGCTGCTGTAGAGAAGTGTTTGTCACGTGGCAATCAAAGCGACTATTTCATTCACAGATGTGATGCAATTCAAACAAAATAAGTTAAAAGCCACCATTGCGCTTCTATAGCTCTCCACACGTGAACTAAATTCACCTCCTGAAGAAGGTCCCATGCAGTACACGGTGCGAAACGTCGGACAACGTTCCGAAGCGTTAAAACCCAACACACGTCGGAAAGCTCGGCTCGCCGTGCTTGAACCCGGAGTCAAACCCAGCGGGTCGGCAGCGCTCTCTCGGTGTCTCTCAATAATTTAGTACATTTGGTATGTTTGCCATTCTTACAGCGCAAGGTGATCACGAAGGCTGCGTTTCACAGACACAGTTGGCAGTGGTTGCACCCTCTGGGGGGGGTTGGGGGGCTGGCGGTGGTGGCGATGCTGCTATGCGTATTCCCAATTGAGTCATTTGCAGTGTAGTATTTAAAGTTCGTCAAAGTTGGACAGTGACGCCGGCAAACAAATGGCCTGCACTTTTCGAACGACGTCTCGGGTACTTGAAGGGATCTTTAACGTCCGCTGTAGAGCAGACGGCGCGTATTATTTTACGCTTAATACGCCTGCAGTAATAACCAGGGCGGCCTGCCACATTCGAACTGCGAACTTCTGCAACAAGCAGCGGAAGTGTTACCTGAACTAACTAACCCTGAATCACCCGGTCACCTCAACTGTTTTGTCTCTTGAAGACAACGGCTCATGCATTATTATTATTATTATTATTTTTGTCCATTGCAGATCTCTTCGCGGCTTCCCACGATGGTGTGTGGACGCAGAGGCATCAACATCCCCACAGTCATGGTGGTGCTGGGGGCGCTGACCTTCGCCTGGTTCATCTTCACCGACAATGCGCCCTTAAGCTTCTCCAACACCTCCAGCCTCAAGATCAAACTCAAGCGGCTGCAGCAGCAGCCGGGCGACGGCACGCAGCCTTCGTCCGCGGACGGAGCCGCCGCTGAGGCCGCCGTGCCTCTGGAAAGCACGCCGGCCGAGATGGCCGCGGACGGCCAGTTGCTCCGGGCTCGCACGCACACCCTCATCATGTCCACCTGGCGGTCCGGCTCCAGCTTCGTCGGCCAGATGTTCAGCCAACACCCCGACATATTCTACCTCTTCGAGCCGGCGTGGCACGTCTGGTCGGGCCTCATGGCCTCTAACGCTAGGGTGCTGCAACCGGCGTGCCGCGACATGCTCGCTCAGCTGTTCCGCTGCGACGCGTCGGTCTTCGACTACTACGTGCCGCGCGCGGGCAACCGCGACCTCTCGTCGCTGTTCATGCACGCGACGAGCCGGGCGCTGTGCACGCCGCCCGCGTGCGACGCGTACACGCCGGCGGAGATTAGCGAGGAGAAGGCCTGCGCCACGGCGTGCAAGCACGAGAGCTTCGACCGCATCGGGGAGACGTGCGCGCAGTACAAGCACGTGGTCATCAAGGAGGTGAGCGGGCGGCCCCGGGGGCGCGCGAGCGACTGACAAAACTCAAACATCGTTACGCCGATCGACGAATCCTTTGTTGTCCTTCAACCCCGCACCTCCCATTAGCACGACTGGCTATGTACGGTGCAGAAGAAGTTCAACGTACGTACGTACATGCAATCGCCGCCGTTGTGGAGGGAGAAATGCGGGACGAAATGAATGCGTCAAGGTGCACGTGTCTGTCCCTCCTCATTGTTTTCTTTACACAACCCGCTGGCCACAACGGCCTTCTGGGAGTGCATACTTTCAGCAATGAACTCTGGGTCGGTTTCGACATTTGGTGTCTCGTCAGCGGAAGGCAGGCTGGCCTGAACCAATGCTGCAATGGTTCAAGCAAGTCTTGACTCGACTGACCAACCGCCGAATGTTGAAACCGATGCAAAGTTTTGATGTTGTTGAAACGGACGCTGCTGGAATTGTGCCCTCCCAGAAATCCGCGTGGCTCATGTGCAGGGACAGATGTGTAAAGGTTTGGCGTATTTATTTGTCGAGTAAAATAGAATTGATTCGTACGTCCGTGACGCGTTCATCAATTTGAGACTCACTGTAGCGGCGACGCAAGTAACACGCTTACTAGTCCGACGATCGGGCGTACATCCCTACGACAGGTATTTAAAAATCCTGTTTGGCCCTTGCCAAGGAAAATGTTCCTCACCCTTGCGCGTGTGTTTGTGCTGCAATTGTTGGGCCTGATGCAGGCCAGCCTGAAGGCACCCATAGTGTTCCTGCCATGCGTCGTGGGAGTCCTTTGCAGATGAGAGGACGCGGGGTTCATCGTGTGCAGTGGTTACGAACCCGGTGAACCCGAGTTCAATTCCCGCTTATGGCCAACGCCAATTACGATTATCTGAACCAGTCCTGGGCCTCCCCTAGGTCGACTCAGCCTCAAATTAGTACCTGGTGTGATTTGTAAGCAATGCCACCCACATCAAAGGTGACATTTCGGGCAATGGGCATTGTTGAAGCGCCACGGTGGTGAGATGTTAACTACCCTGCCTGGTATACAGCAGCTCGTGGGTTCGATCCTGACCCGGATGCCTGCTGTATATTTAGAGTTTGAATGTCTCTCTCCCCATGGTCGCATGGATCTTTCTCCGGGTCCTCCGGTTTATCTCTCCACATTTAGAATCAACGTGCATTCAGAGTCTTTGGCTGCTATAATTTCCACGTGATAAGCCACTTCTTCTGAGCTATCATTTGTGGCCAGGTTGATTGTGAAAAAGAGCTATATAGCTCAGGGAATGTTTGTCTTTGTGAATGGCTCTTTGTAACGGAAATCCTTTGACAAAAGGTGTCTTTTTTCACGCACGCGTTTCGAGGAAGCAAGCGGGGCATTTTTATTTGCACAATAGCAGTGCTTTTGATTTTGTCGTCAAATATTTCGCCCGGATAATAATTCCTTGAGATGAGATTGAACACCTTGTTTGCATGGTTGACCAGGCTGCCAAGTAACGAGTATGTATCATATTGACACATACACAAACATGAAAAAAATATTTAAAACGTACAGAGTATGTATTTGTACAAAGCCACAAAAAACATTTAGATACTTTTCCATAGCTGTCAACCCATACGGTTTACCCGCATTCGTATACAGGGAAATAGAGTTTTCAGGTCGATACGGCGTACTGCCGTTTCAATATGGGCAAAAAAGTATATTCGTTCGTGTTTCTCTCTTGTGATGGACCTTTGTAGGATGAACGGGGTGACCAATAAGGTCTGAATTGGTCTGTGATAAGGTAGGCTCTGATAAGGGGCTGACAAGTCCGCGTTTGTTTGGGGCGGTGGCATTGCGTAGCGGGAGCGCGTCCGCCACTCGCTGCAGAGGTTCACAGTTCGGATCCCACAGCCGCCCCCCAGTCAATACTGCGGTGATGTAATAGTCTTCAAAATACCACGTGCTTACCACGTGCATACCACGTGCATACCACGTGCGCCGTCTGCCTCAGCGTGGATGTAAAGAAAGCCGTGACGCGGTTCGCAGGAGTGAGCAAATCGTGGGCTGGGGTCACGGCTCGCATTGTACCAAATTTGAAATAGTACACCCCAAATCACTGAATTGGGTTAATACACAGCAAATCACTGCCCTCCCCGCCACTCTTCCATCGCCTCCTGAAAGAGAAGTCTTGAGACTACGTGAGGTTTTCCTGGGTAAACAAACTTAGTAGTAATAATAGTAAAGTATCCATGGTGAGACTACCATCGTCTGCTGAGGTCTTCCCGTCTGGTTATACAGTTAGACTTGAAACAGGATCAAAAGTACGCGACGATGAGTGCGACCATAACATGCAGAAATCTAAATTATAAAATGCAGGGTTCAATGTTGAGGGAGAGAGCCACGCTCAGTGACACGCACACACACAAACACGAACTCTCCTCCAATAACGAACATGCAGTTAAACTCCACAGGAGCAACACGCTGATACTGTGATGAAGCAAGCATTCAGTTTATGACTGTGCAAAGTACTATGTGGGTAATCATTCCTTCTCCCTGTGATGCACTGTCAGTAAATCCTATTCAAGATTTGGGGTGATATTATCTCAATTGAAGAACTTCTTGTTTTTCATTTTGTGTACTGTCTCGTCCATGAGTGTGTGATCTACAAGACCCTTGTCATTACATTCAAATCCACCCATGGCCTTGCCAGTCTTCTCCGCCTCCTACCTCCTCCTCCACCACCTCCTCCTGCACCTCCTCCATCTCCTCTGCCTCCTTAGTGGCGTCACGGTGGTGAAATGTTAACTACCTCGTCTCGTATAGAGGAGGTCGGGGGTTCGATCTCAACCCTGGCGCCTGCCGTATATTTGGAGTTTGCGTGTTCTCCCCGTGGTCGCGTGGGTTTTTCTTCAGGTCCTCCGGTTTTCCCCTCCACATTTAGAATCATGCGTTTAGAGTATTTGTCTGCTATAAATTTCCACGTGATGAGACGCCACTTTGTTGAGCTATCAATTGTGGCCACGTTGCTTCTGAAAAAGATGATAATTACTCATTTGGCCTTACCTGGTATTTAAAAAAGAAAGTAGTTTCTCTTCCCTCACCCACTCCTCCCCCACTCTCTCACTTGTCCTGCTCCTCCTCCACCTCTGCAACCAAATCCACCCCGACCCACGTCCCAGCCCGCTCCCTCTGCTCCGTGGACCCTCGCCTCCTCCTGGGGTCACTTTGTTAGCCTATGGGTGTCGTCTATGTTTGAATCTGTGGGTCTCTGTGTTAGTCTGTGGGTGTCTGTGTGAGAATGGGTGTCTGTGTGAGTTTGAGTCTCTACGTTACTCTATGGGTCTCTATGATAGTGTGTCAGTCTTTATGTTAGTCTTTGGGTCTCTATGCGAGTATTTCAGTCTATGTGTTTCAATGGATCTCTTTATGTTGGCCTATGGTCTCCATGTAAATCTATGGGTCTCCATATGAGTCTGTGCATCTCCATGTGAGTCTATGGGTCTCTATATGAGTCAGTGGGTCTCAATGTGAGTCTACGGGCCTCAATGCAAGTCTTTGGGTCTGTATGTTGGTGGTTGCTCTTTTAGCGAGTACGCTGTATGTTGGTGGCTGCTCTTTAAGCGAGTACGCCATCCCCCGCTCTGGAACTCACTCCCCAGGCATCTCCGCCACCTGCTTCCACCAGGAGGCAGGTGGCTGATGAGGATCGCCTCGTGGATTCCAATCGAGTCATTCAGATTTTGCAAAAATTGGACAACACCGCCGGCACACGATGGACGCCTACTCCTTGCGTTTGACGTCAGGAGATCTTTAAACAAATCCCTTCCTTATTTTCCGTGTGCCCAAATCAATCTGGCGAAAATCCCCAATCCAAGCATGAATGTGAACATGGCTCACATCAACGACAGCGACAATGTTTGTGTCGTGTGTCGCAATGGAGTTCGGATCACCTCCTGGTTAAATAGAGGATACCGCTTGCATTTGACATGTTCCCATTTTACACTGGAGTACTATAGTGACTCGATATCTGTTTCATGTTAACGCATCCTGCAGCTTAGCTTTTGTAATATGTGCTCTGTTCAACCTGGAGGTCATCTGCATGAGCCGATTTGCGCTTCGGGGAGTTATATTAGCGATATTTTAAATTGCTCGTAATGTGTGACACCGTTTTGTTTAGTTCTACGTTCTTGATTTTCAAGCGTTTCGCTTTGGTCACGTTGGTGACCTGGGTCACCGCCCCTGCAAAATGGGCTCATCCTGCATATATATATATATTTTTTTCACGTGATTTTCTTACCTTCCCTATACTTTGCACTATTATCGTTGCTTTCGTACTGTCTGTCGTCGTCACGCGACTGACCCCGACCGACCGTCTGCCGCAGGTGCGCTTCTTCGACCTCAACGTCCTCAAGCCGCTCATGGTCGACCCGTCGCTCAACCTCAAGATCATCAACCTGATCCGCGACCCACGCGCCGTTGCGCTCTCTAGGGACAACGCGCCGCGCGGCCTCAAGCGGGACAACGGCATCGTGTTGGAGCGCGGCGGGCAGCTCATCCTCGACGTCAACTACACGGCGCTCAAGACCATCTGCGACAGCCAGGCGGACATGGGCGAGGCGGCGCTCGTGGGCAAGCAGCCGTACTGGCTGCGAGGGCGTTACCGCCTGGTGCGCTTCGAGGACCTGGTGAAGGAGCCACGGCAGACGGTGCTGGACCTGCAGGCGTTCGCCGGCGTGCCGCGCAACGACCGCATCGCCTCCTGGGTGCACAACCTGACGCACGGCTCTAAGTCGTCGGGCGACGTATTCTACGTGGTGCCCAAGGACGCCGTGAAGGTGGCGCAGAAGTGGCGGCTGGAGCTCACCTTCGCCAAGGTCCTGCAGGTGCAGAAGGCGTGCGAGAGGATGATGAAGATCTTTGGCTACAGGTTCATACGGACGCTCGGCGAACTCAAGAGCATGGACGTGAACCTGATCGACGACCTGAAGTTCAGCGTCTTCGGAAACTGAGTGAGCGCGCTGCGTGCGTGCCGCCCGGGCCCCGGGGTGGGGGGGTGGGGGGGTCACCGCTTTGGCCGGCGCAGAGAGCGGCGAACATTTTGCCGATTTCGCGTTTTTTGTGTCGCGTCGCGGTCGCGGGTGGAGTTGGATCGCAGTTTTTAGCGGCCTGTGCAATGCGCTTCCTCGCGGCGGTTTTGCCGAAGGGAGGATTCTTTCTGCTCAGAGTGGGGGGAGGATTCTACAGTGATTATATCTGTGCATTGTTCTGTTGAACCTTGGGGATGCTGGCAAGATGTAATGGTTAGCACACTGTACTTGCAATGCAGGGGTCGCCTTACACGGCGCGGCAGCTGAAACAATGGGGCAAGTTCCAGAAATGCCAACACCACCTCTGTCCACCGTGCAGCCTAAAGCGGGTAACACAAAACAATCGGTGGATGGGCAAGTGGCGTGTGGTGGGGTAAAGTGTGGGTACCTCCCACCTCGTCCCAACATGTCTGGCCGGCGGGGAATGAAAGGCAAACGACCCTCGAGAGTTTTGCTCAAGTGGAGGCCCTTTTGCCAGCGGTGGCATGCGTAAGACATTTTCAAGGCTGCACCTTTATTGGTTTCATTTTAGTCATCGTCGCCGTCAAAGTGTTGCTTGTTGGTGACGTCCGGATCACAGCGGGGGGAACGCTGTCAGCAGAGTTACTGCGATGTATTGTTGCTGTTGACGTGACGTTACGATATCAAACGTCACAAGACGACGATTGTCACGATATCAGCTTCCACCTTAACCCCGTAGCTGGTACTCCCGGTACAACTCGCGACAAGTTCTCTGACGCCGTGGTGCGCGTTGGGCAACACGCGGTCACACGCCCCGCCACGAGACTTCAGATCGTGGCTGCTTCACGACATCTACCGACTCATTGCGCAAACACAGCCAGCTGCGTGTACGTACTGCGTGTACGTACGTACTGCGTGTACGTACGTACTGCGTGTACGTACGTACTGCGTGTACGTACGTACTGCGTGTACGCTGAACTTCTCATTCGCACCGTGCTTAGCCAACCTTACTAATCGGAGGTGCGAGTGAATCGATCGGACGGGACAACGGAGAGGGAGACGTCGCAGATCCATCGAGAATACTTTTTAATTTAGGAGAAACGTTTTTAGAGCTCTCTTATTATTTTTTCCTAAAATGTTGTGAAGTTTACCATCTTGTTTGAAATGCTTTGCTCAAGGAGTTGAACGTGAGAATGTTTTTTTTTTACAAGCAACGACGTTTACACGATACTTGCAGAATAACGGACGATGCTGGGATTTTCTTGGACCTTGAATTGTACAATATGCGTCGCAGTATTGCCGTATCGTGGCGGCAATACTGGTTTATGGCAATCAGATTATTTTCTTGAAATGGGTGCTAGGGAACAACTCTGGAAGCCCAGGAAAATTGTCCAGAATTGTGAAAGTATACCGAATGAAAATGCATTTTGTTTAATGTTGGTAAGAAATAATAGTACATTCTGCACACTTGCCTGTAAAAACCTCCGCATCGGAGGTTTGTCCATAATAGAGGTTTTTTTGGGTTAAATCGCTCTATTTTTGGGTTAGATCCCTCTCAAAAAGAAAACCTCTGATGGATATTGGTCACGAAAGCGTGTAAGCTACGCTGAAGCTCATTGGTGTTGTGGACTCGTGAAAAGCGGACCAACAGGGTTCATTGGCAACGTTAATTTGGCTGTTGCCAGAGTATTTGGCTGTTGCTATAAATTCCCAAGTGATAAGCCACTTAGTGAAGCTATCAATTGTGGCCAGAGAAAATGCATTGAATGAGTTTTCTTATGATTATTATTCTGAGGCTCTGTTATAAAAAGTTTGTAATGTCTAGACCGTGCTCCCTCTCCCTTGTATCAGCAATGATCTCCCAATAACGGCGCAGGACTTTGGATGTGCCGCTCACGGAGCTAATTCCACCTTTGTGAGGTCCATGCCTCCCAAAAAACACAGTTGTATGTGAATGGGCGAAACTGCATGCTCGATGTAGTTCGTTGTGGATTTTGTGGTTAATATGCAATGGTCTCTTGTAGAATAGACACTCTTTCACCTTTCTCAGGATGCATGCCATATTGTAATGGTTGGCACGCTGAGCTTGCAATTTTCTGAGATCTCCTCTTCCCCCCAGTTAGTCGATCGGTGGGTCGCGTGAGGTGGATGGGGTAAGTTGTGGGTACCCCCACCTCTTCCAGTGCAAGCTGCTCAGCGTGGCAGTGTAGCCCAAATTATCATCCAGTGGAGGCCCTGCCAACAGCAACGAAGCAAGCAATTGCAGGGCCGCACCTTTACCGCATTTTACAAGGGTTATATCGAAATGAAAACCTCTTTAAGATTACTCTCGCTCGGTTAGAACTCGTGGATTAAGTTAAATATTTCCTTCGTGTTTTAGATGGAGAAGTGTGTTTAGGTAGGTTATTTAAAACTAGTGGGAATCTAATAAAATAATAAAATATATATAAAACAATAATATATAAAACAATCAAAATTCTCACGACGTGAGAATTTTTATTGTTTTATATATATTTTATTATTTTATTGTTTCCCTTCAACGTGACTTTACCGATAGTGGGAATCCGTTGAATTGGATGTGAATGCATGCCCGTGTGCGTGCGTGTGTGCGCGCGCGAATTTGAGCGTGTGGGGAGTGGTGATGCAATGATCGGTGCGCCGGGCTATTGATGTTATACCCGGCTTCAGTCGAGCAGCAAGGTGGTGCAGTGGTAGAATTATGCCTGGAAGCAACTCCAGCCTGGTGGGGACTTTCTCCGTGCACTTCGGGGTTCTCCGGTTTCCTCTTACAATGCAATCCAGTATTGGCACAAACCCATTGCTAAAGAAATTGTCCTGTAAATGAACTCAGTTAGGATGAGACCACGTGGCAACATCGCCCCCCCCCCACCCCCCACTAATGTGAGAAACTTGGCAACTACCCTGCTCAAAAAGAGTCTTGAGACCCAGTGAGGCTTTCCTGGGTAAACAAGCGGAGTGCTAATAATACATCATACAAATTATACAAAACAGTACCAGGCGCTCCTCTGAAAATACCGCAAACTTCTTTGCCCTCAGAAGGTCTCGTCACGGTGGCTGGGAGATGTTTACTACCTCGCCTGCTATACAGGAGCTCGTGGGTTCAATCCCGACCTTGACGCCTGCTGCTGCTGTATATATTCGGAGTTTGCGGTGTCTCTCTTCTCCCCGTGGTTGCGTGAATTTTTTCCCTCCGGTTCCTCCGGTTTTTCCCCGCCACATTTAGAAACATGCGTTTAGAATAGTTCGCTGCTAAACATTTCCACGAAATAAGCCACTTTGTTGAGCTGTCATCATCTTTGGCCGGGCAGCTTCTGAAAAAAAACCTGCAGAGCTCAGTGGGCCTTAACTTGAAAAGAGCTAAATACATAGTCGGCATGCTTCGTGCAGCGGTGATATAATTGGCATCCCGCTGTGGTTGGAGGCACAGGTGCCTGGGTGTGTGCATTGGTGACCCCCCAACATCCACCGCCCACACAGGGCAAGGTGGCCCCTGAAATCCAGAGGTCAGAACGCTGCAGCTGTCGCCAGCGATACCCCGGGACTTGAATCCCGGTTTCAGACACCGGTGATTAAAACGCGCTTCTCAGGATGTAGCGAGTTCTCGGCCTGTCTCAGCCTGGTCACTAATAACTGCACACACACACACAAACCCCATCGCATGAAGTTTGATTGTGTGCCTTATTACATCTGTGATTACATCTGTGATGATATATTTTTTTAACCGTCATGCTACGAAACTTTCTCGCCCGTTGAAGGGCGGGTAGGGGAAAAACTCTGCCCTCCGCCGTATGTAGAAGGGGTTTACAAGATGTATTGGGTGACCTCACTGCTCTGTGAGATTGCCCAGTGTACTGTTCGTGTCGTGCCCGTGATGCTATTACAGTGATACCCCAACGTACGTTCCTCGCTTTTACGGCGTTTCGCTAATAACGTCGTCACGTGACTATTCAAGGCCGCTACTACCTGACGATTTTCGTCGACTCAACCCCCAAACGCTTGCGTCGCTGACAGCGTCGTCCGTCCTTTCTCGTTCTCCGCCACCTCTCAGCCTTCGCCTCCACCACCACCTACAACAACTACGACATCGCTTTCATTGATGTCGTTTCGATTTTCGTCGTCGCACCTTTCAGAAAGGCATCCCCGACGTGAGTCGCCGGGGTATCGCTGTCGCACAGTAGGGGCACGATTTGGAGGCGGTGTGAATACAAAATCACTGACACGGGGTAGGTTATTAGAGGATACGGGTCGGTGTTTTTCCTGCTTTTTTTAAATAAGAATTCAACATCACGAACATGAAACTGTCGTTTATTTAATATTATATGGTTTAGTGTGTGTGAGTGTCAGCTTCAACAGTGGCTAAAACTCAAGGTAGCAAAATTACTAAACATTTAAACGATGGGTTATTATTCTGTGGGCACGATTCCATCGTTCGGTCTAATTTTGACGATAAAATAACATGTCTAGCCTAATGTTTTTTTCAGCCAGAAGGAATTCCACTCATATCGACCTGTGGCTGCCCTACAATGTTTGTGACTTTTCTTTTGAGTTTTAAAATAAATAAATAAATAAAAAGAGCCTGCCACGTTCTTGTCATGTTGGTTACTTGAATGGCGTGGTCTCGGTGTTCAGTACATCAGCGAAACAAACCATGCGAGCGTGCGTACACACACAAAATAATATAATTCGTAACGATTTCAACTTGTGTCAGGTGCGGGCCACACAGTATTCGCTCGCTCTCGGAAGACGGAGAGGATGAATCGTGCGCGCAGAACCACACACAGGAAAGGCAGCAACCAAGCTGTGAGTCGGTGCCAAATTTCCCCCTCCAAGCTCTGCGGTCCTTTATAACGAAGTTGTTATCGGCCAATTAATGAGCATTTACACGTGGGAGGAGACCGGAGAAACCGACCACACGTTCGAGGGGGGTGCCACACTGAATCCCAAATAGGTGAACAGCTGGAGTCCACAATTGCCTGTTCAGCCTCCTCCTGGCAAGCCAGGGTATAGCTCCTCAGTCAGAATCTTTGTTTAGACTACAGGAGCAGGAATCCGATGAGCTATGAAGCTCTTACTCGCAGATGTCCAGTAGCGGTGGGTCAGAAAGTTACAATAATAAACTACAAAAACACGACACGAGTGAAAAATAGAGAAAAAGTTAAGCACGTCACGAAATATAAAATGTATGTAAGTCTGAGAGTGACCTGCCACACACTGCGTGTGAGAGTGACGCGAATTCAACCATCACGTGGGCACATGTGGCTGTATCCAGCACCAAGCTTCTGCTTCAGGATATTTTTTTAAAGGAAGATTTACGATCTTAAGGGAGGAAAGAAAATTGTTCCGTAACGTTGGTGCTGTGACGGCAAAGGCTGTGTCGCCTCTTCCAGTTCTTGATCGAATGCAGTGGTTCTCACCTTCACTGCAGCCTAGCCTGGTTGTCAATCGTTACAACAATTACAATGTTAATAACTACGCAGAAGTGTGATGAAACAAAGTCGTTGACGGCAACAAATAACAACATGAAGCGTCTCAGGCAATCGCAGCGCTTCTGCAATGTGTAAAGACATACACATTCTCCTGCTGAGGGAGCTGGTAGGAACGTTGGGTTGCTCGGTTAATGGCCAGGGTCAACGGCGGCACCACCACGTGGTGTATTCCGCAAATATGCCCGACTGTGAGGGCGGGCACAAGCCGGCGTGAGTAGGTTAAACGTTGAGTTTTATAAGGGAACCACGGGGTGACCAGCCCCTCCCCACCCAGCCCCACCCCTCCCACCCCCCACCCAGCCCCTCTCCACCCTCCCCACCCAGCCCCTCCCCACCCTCCCCTCTCCACCCTCCCCACCCAGCTCCTCCCCACCCAGCCCCACCCAGTCCCATTTTTGGATGCACGACGGACGGACACAATAATCCCCTGTGGGCTGCTGGTGTAACCAGGAGGTTCCTACCAGTAAGCTCACCTGTGTAGCCTTCACAGACTTGGAACAAGTGCTGGTAGCGAGCAGCACCTGTGAAGGCCGGCACGGTACGCGAGGGGGTGGGTGGCCAGCACCACGCCCGGTCGCCTTTGTCTCCCCAGTGGCGATGTTTACACATTGCATCAGGTCGTAATTTGTGGCTGAGTCGACCTAGGGGAGACCCAGTACCGGTTCAGATAATCGTCACTGGTGTTGGCCGTGAGTGGGAATCGAACTCGGGTCTTGCAATGTGTGGTCCTCTACGTTCAACGATCCGTATCGGTCCCTGACCCCAGACCGGGTGACCTCACACGTGTCGGGACCCACTGAGGTGGCATGACTTTACAGTGAGTCACGTGATGACCATTTGAAACGAGCGGTAGTTGTGGAGTCATCGACGCGTTATTAGCCGTGTGGATTCATCGGTTTCGCTAACTCAGGTGTCAGCAGTGCCGGATTAAGCTCGTGCCGGGCCTGTAGCGTACGTTTTAAAGGGGCCCTAATTTATTTTTTAACACAAATATATATAAAATGTTACTTGCATAGTAACGCAATTGTATTTTTGATTTGCTATACAATCAGATAATACGACAATTCGCTAACCTTAAACACCGAGTCGATCATAAAAGTTGAAGGCAGTATAGTACTATCGTAACAGTCGTGGCAGCGTCTCTTGTTTGGCCTTTGTATCTCCGCCTCGACTCAAATCAAATGGGGTGGGGTTTTTTTTTAAGTCTAATTTACGGTTGTTTAGATTCAGCCCAAACTCGTCTACCTCCTGAAATGGAGGTTTAATGTTCAGAGGCCAACGCCAGGATTTCCTGCTCAATTAAACAGCGGAGGCATCGGTGTTGATCTCCTGTTCATATTGCCCGAGCCAGTGCTGGTAATTCCACATTCCTGTGCTCTGGGCGAGTCTCACACAACCACACGGTCGAGACTTCCC